CAGCACTAAGGATGTCCAACTGCAGCTTAGGCCTGCTCCCCGCTGGCAAGTGGACATCCCCCAAGGGTTGCTGGGCTGCCAAGGGATGTCTGACTACCAGCTTGGGCCTGAACCCCCAGGGAGTGGGCCTAAGCCAGCAGATGGACATCCTCCGAGGGTCCCAGACTGCAAGAGGGCATAGGCCGGGCTGAGGGACCCCGCCTCCCATGATTGCACAAATTTTTGTGCACCAGGCCTTTAGTACAAAATAATATTGAACACAACCTGTAATTGAAAAAATAAAATCAAAACAAAGAGCATGAAAAAATATAAATAATAAAATGAAGACTCCCCTCTGAGCACCCAGGTGCCTAACTTTGGGAAGCACGGTGTCCCTCGCTGGCCCTGGGCAAGCTCCCTCCCACACTTCAGAGCCCTGTTCCACCTCCAGCTCTTCTCACGACACAGGTGCTTCCAGGCAAAGAGATGGACTCCCACCGCCCATCATGCAGCCTAGAATTCCCACTGAGTGGGCCTGCCCAGGGCCTACACATCTCTCTCCCTGGGCCTGGCGGGCACACAGTAGGTGCTTTGAGGGAATAAATTGAATTGACTCAAGCAGTTTTTCTCAAAGTGTACAATATGATCACAGGTATCCCAAAAGATGATTTGGGGAGGGCATGAGCTCAAAATGAAATCACAATAAAGAGGTTACTCCAGTTCTCTTCTGGTGCTCTTGATGACACCAAAGAGAAAGTCCCAGTTCAGTGCCAGTATATCTTACACACCTCTCAACACTTAGTCATTACTCCTTTTAACAGCAAGAAAGCAGTCCTGGGCTTGGAGTCATCCACAGTCAGCCTCATCCAGCCAGAATTTTCTAACATGGATTTGCCTTTGTTGTATTTTCCCCCCCAATTACTTCCTGTTTATGACAAGGGATACTGATTTTTCATGGTCATGACATAAAATCTCCTTTTAAAAAATATTTTTAAATTTAAAAAATAAATTGTATTTATATAAATAAAAATATTGAGCAAATGATAAGTAGTATATTTTATTATTTGCTATATCCAGTCAGTGGATATGCAAAAATGGTTCTGGTGATACTAAAATTACAGATATTGGACTGAATAAACCCTAAGCTCCTTTCTCTTAAGATGCTCTGACACTGGGCTGTTTCCGAACATTAGATAGCCATTAATCAAAGCATCCCACAAAAATTACAACTGTGGTCAGTGACATGAAGGAGAGATATACAGTGAGAGTCAGGAAAATCAGGAAAGGCTTTCCTGAGGAGGTGACATTTGAGTGGAGATGTACAGCATGAATGGGATTCATTAAGGGTAGGAGTTCCGCCCAGCAGAACAGCATGTACAAAGGCACTGTGGCTGGAGGGAACACGAAACATAAGAGGCTCTGAACCAAGGTCAGAGTGTCTGCAGTATAGAGGTGAGGCCAGAGAGGTGGGCAGGTGACAACCTTTAATACTTAAAGACAACCGTGGGAGGGAGATCTGCCCATCATTCCCATTCGGAAGAAAAAGTTGCTCATTCTTGGAGAGGACTACCCAGATCTTAGGGTCTGGGCTTCAGCAAGGAGTTTCTGGATTCTAAAAGTAATAACTAAGTTAGGTCCAAAACCAGGTAAGGTTTGGTGCAAGTGGCTCTGGGGTGGCTGTGACAGCTGAGTTCGGGTTCAGAATTCATGCTGAACTTCTTGGCAGGGTGACTGTGGGCAGCCACCTAAGCCCCCCGATTCCCAGGTCTCCATCTGTGGAGTAGCAATACCAGCAGGTTTACTCTTAGAGTTGGTGTGAGTTTCAGGAGCTCCTGCATGTACATTACCCAGTGAATAACATTAGCTTATGATTATTGCCAAACAGCGCCAACGGCGATGTACGCATACCCCTGCCCTGCTGGTGTGTGGACTGAGGAGCCTGCTTTTGCAATGTGTCTATGGTGTGTACGCAGGTGTGTGCCCTATTTTAGCAGAATGAGAGAGCAGGAGGACAAGGCTTGTACATGAGAGGGCACATGTGTTCAGCTGTGTGGGCCAGCAGGAGCATGTTTTGGTGTGTATGTGTGCGTGCGTGTGTGTGTATACACATCTCTATACAGCAGCGGTTCTCAACCTGTGGGTCACGACCCCTTTGGGGGTTGAACGACCCTTTCACAGGGTCACCTAAGACCATCGGAAAACACATATATAATTACATATTGTTTTTGTGATTAATCACTATGCTTTAATTATGTTCAATTTGTAACAATGAAATCGGGGTCACCACAACATGAGGAACCGTATTAAAGGGTTGCGGCATTAGGAAGGTTGAGAACCACTGCTACACAGAAATCTTCTGTGGGTGATGTGCACACAGTGAAAACCCACACACACTCAACACGGTAGTTCACAGTCAAGGGGTTAAAGCCCTGGCCTGTCTTCACAGCCCTTTTCCAAATCCCACCACCCCTGCGATCTGTGTGAATCTGCCCGGGGCTCCTGGGCCTGTCTGGAGCTGGGTTAGGATTCTCTGAAAACAGACTTTCTTTCATTCTCTGAGCGCGCACGCACACACACTCACGCGGGCGCGGGCGCGGGCACGCACACGCCTGTCCCAACCTTGAGGTGCCAGCCCAGGAAGTCACAGTATGTGGGCACTGCCCTCTCCCCGCTCCCCTAGGCCTACCTCCCACCCAGTCCCCAGGGGAGCACCTCGATCAGGGCAATGTGCATAGCTGACTTTCCTGCCCTGAGTCTGAAATAGCAAAAACACCCCAAGTTTTGGTGGCAACTTCCTCCTCTCCGCTCCTCACCCTTAACCCTGCTTGCCCTGCACCGCCTGACTGCACCCCTAACCCCACCCCCATCCAAACCTGTGTGGGGACGGACAGTGGGCATGTCTGACGCTCAGCCCCACGTCTGAAATGCAGCACCTCCCCAAGTTGGGCCCACGGCCCGAGAGCCGGGATTACAGCTCTGACTTGGGCTGTGGGATGGGGCAATATCAAAGTTTACAAGTCATCCCGTCTTACTCGTCCACTTTGCACATGGAGCGCCAGAGGCCCAGAATGCAGAGGGAGGCATCACCCAGGGGTGGGTCTCTGCAACCTCCCCCCCACCCCACCCCCACCACTACCCCTGCTGGGGGGCGGGGGGCGGCATTTAAGCAGAGCCCTGGTGGGCTTCTAAGGGTCGTCTGAGCATAAAAGGTTGGGGTCTGCGAGGGCCCCGCCAAAAGAAGACAGAGGGAGGTGGTCCAGACTTTGGCAGGCGTTACCATGGTGACAGCGGAGGCGGCTTCTCCTCTCCTGGTCGTCAGGGCAGTCCAACCGTCCGCGGGTCCGTCTGTCCGGTGCAGCCGGTGCCCAGCCTACCACTGGAGCGGGCTGGCCCGGAGCGCCGATCCCAGCCTCATCCCGGAGGGGAGGCCGGAGAGGCCGGGAGAGGAGGTGCCTGAGAGACGGTGAAACCGAGACTGGAGA